GAACAAGACAATTCATATCAAACAAATTTCATGTAATTAGCCTAACCATATAAACTAATACAAAACATGAAACTTTGACAATTATCTTTTAAATTGGATAAGCATGATCATTACCACATCAAAAACGGGTTTATAAGTTCAAAAACAGTTTAGGGTAATGATCCTAGTCCAATTCCAACATTAAAACTCGAAATTCTGCATCCAGGAGCACCAACTCGTCGAGTGCATGAACTGACTCGGCGATTTGGTCGGTTTATAGGGTGGACCCGGTGAGTTCCCCAGTAGACTCGGCGAGTTCACTGTCCAGACAGCAAAAAATCGAATTTTTTTAAGCTTTGAAAACAAGTAGCATCAAGTATATAAGAAAACAACCCTAGGCTCTGATACCACTGATGGGTTTTGAGCATTCTAACACTCCTATGGTGTACATGCAACCCTAGATCCTTTGGATCTATGTTTTCTCTAATATACATGCAAACTTTTATTTTTCCAAAGCATCATCCTAGCTAGCATACAATGGAGTATCTTTACTACAAAATTCTAGTTAGATGACATACCTTTTGTTGTAGTTGGAAGCCTTGGACCTTTAAGAACTTAGTGCCCCAAGTGTTGCACCTCAAATGGAATCACACAACACCACCAACAATGGAGGAACTTGAGAGGAGGTTACTTGCACTCATAAAATCAGCTTGCCCTCTTGTAAGCTTCCTTAGGTCCAATTTCATGAGCTAGAGGGGTTCTTATATATTGTGGCTTAATTAGGTTTACACCATGCAAACCCTAATGTGCATGACATTCCACATTCCTCATGCTCCATGGGTTTAAACTTCCATGGATCATCTATGGGTCACCACATGGGTTTAGCCCAACACAAATAACTATGGATCATAAGCCCACATTATAAAGAATGAATGATTTACATAATCAATCCCCATATATTTAATTAGTCTCTTTTTATCACAAAATTAATTCCAAATTAATTCTTGATCAATACTAATTAAATAATATGATTTCATATTAATATATTAGAACTTATAATATATTAATAAACCATAAATAACCTCTTCTCAGTTATCCATCCTTCAGATTATTCCGGTGCCATGCAACCCAAATGGACCATGCTACTCTCGGGTCAAGTACATACCAGTTATAGTTATGGACTTAGACACTAATCCAACACATGCAAGGTTCTCCAAGGCTATATCTTCAAAACTAGGCTTCTTACAAGGTTCTTGTGCATGGAAGGAGGCTAAACTGCATAAAGGAAGCAACTTTATGCCATTGGGGACCTAAAGATGTCCAGATCTGGAACCATATCCTTATGATAAGTCCAGATCCAAGTTTGACTCCATTTTGTACCAAGAATGGCCATTTACTTCCAAGAAAAGAGATCTAAGCAACTAGAGATCAAGATCACGACTTTATACCTTAAGATGATGGCCAATATGAAGTAAATGTTGGATCTACTATTCCTCTCCTATCTCCTTCTTCTTCAAGCTCTAAAATCATTCACAAATACCCCAAAATTGCTCACAAAGGCTCTTTCTCTCACTCAAGAGGGTGCAAAGTCGATCTAGGGTTTTCTCTGGCTGCTAAAGTGATAAGGGAGGGCACAAGAGGCAGGTTATGTTCTTTAAATAGGGTGCAAACCCTAAAAATTAGGGTTTCTTTTTACAGCTCCTACTCGTCTAGTCGGCCTTCCGACTCGTTGAGTAGGTCTCGATCCCGCGTCCACCAAAAATGCCTCTACTCGACGAGTTGGACTCCCAACTCGCCGAGTCCATGCACAAAACCCTAAAACTTACATAAATTAAGTAATACCTGGAACAGGTGTTACACAAATGGCCTCTTCGTCAGCTAGATGTTAAAAATGCTTTTCTTCATGGTGATCTTAATGAAACTGTCTACTTACGTCAGCCTCCTGGTTTCGTTGATCCGCAGAAACCCAATCATGTTTTCTTACTTCATAAGTCCTTGTATGGACTTAAGCAGGCACCACATGTTTGGTTTCATCGTTTATCCAGTGGTCGTCACACTCTCGGTTTCAAAGGGTCACGTACTGACCCCTCTCTGTTTATACTCTCCACTAAGGGCACGCATATTTATATGTTGGTATATGTTGATGATATCATTATTACAGGGAACAACCCCGAGGCTATGGATCAAGTTGTACGAAGTCTAAGTCAAACTTTTGCTCTTCAAGACATGGGGGGACTTTCATACTTTCTCGGTGTTTCGGTTGCTCACATTGGTTCTAATCTCTTTTTATCTCAACAATAGTATATCTTAGATATGTTGCAGCATGCTGGTCTCACTGAAGCCAACCCAATCTCAACGCCTCTTCCCACTGGTGCCTCTTTGTCCCTTGGCGATAGTCCCCTATTTGAAAACCCGGTTCGGTATCGTCAAGTGGTTGGTGCATTACAATATGTCACCTTGTCCAGACCAGACATCACCTATGCAGTCAACAAAGTCTATCAGTTTATGAATTCCCCAACTAACAACCATTGGTCTGTTGTCAAATGGATCCTTCGATATCTCAAGGGCACCAGTAACTTTGGTCTACGCCTTATACCCTCATGTGACAACACCATCCATGCTTATGGAGATGCGAAATCTCCTCTGGCTACTGCTTATTATGATGTTGATTGGGTTGGTTGTCCATATGGTCGTCGATCCACCGGGGGTTACGCCATATATCTTGGTTCTAATTTAGTTTCTTGGTCAGCAAGAAAACAGAATATTGTCTCTCGGTCATCTACTAAGGCTGAATACAAAGCTCTAGCTGACACTGTTGCTGAAGTTACTTGGCTTGAAACACTATTACGAGAGCTATGCATACCGGTAACCAAAGCACCGGTATTGTGGTGTGATAATCTTGTTGCCACTTATTTATCCGCTAATCCCGTGTTCCATGCACGTACGAAACATGTTGAGGTCCATTTTCACTTCGTAAGAGAAAATGTTGTTGCGAAAAGCTCTCAGTATAGTTCATATCCACAGATGACCAGATTGTTGATATATTCACTAAGCCACTATCTTCACAAAGATTTGAAGGGTTACGATCCAAGCTACAAGTTCTTACCCGACCTTAGCTTGCGGGGGAATATTAGATAGATATTATAGTATAAGGATTAGAGTGAAAATATATTTATTATATATTCCTATTGTATTACACGTTAATGATATCAATCACAATTACAACTCCGATTCTCTCCTATTGAACTTGCTATTGTGGATACTTTAAGGATATTCATAAAAATGATATCAAAACGTGCAACAAAATGATACCATGAAGATTGTCTATACAGTGAGATGCAAAACTATAATATAGTGGTTATTTCAACTATACCACAAGGACCATTTCTATAATTCATTTTAATTATAATCTTTAACACTAAGGATATTCCCAAAAATGACTACATGACTGTGCAGTAAAGTTTAAAACCTAACTTTTTAGTGTTACAAAAATGACTATACTGTCTAAAATATTGCTTTTCAAATTAGCTCAATTTCGTATTTGATGTAAGTTACAATTGAGATGTGACAGAAATAGTTCGGAAGTATGACATTTCAGACATTTCGTGCATTACATATAATTCAGACTTCCTTTATCTTACTTACACATAGTACATTGTATAACCAATAGGGCATGTATGAAATCCATAAAGAATACATCTAAAATCCGATATTTTAGACACATATATAGTTCTTCAAAATCACATTTTGTTTAACCTTATAAAATATATAAAACATGGGTTGTAGCATTTTATTGAAAAAAGATTTTTAAATTTTAACATTTTGGACTCTGAAATACAACCGAAATCAAACAAAAACAACCTTACTAAAACCAAGGTTGATCACCATACAATGGCATAAAAAGTAACATTTAGTTGAAAACTCTGTTGTAGTAAATATTTCGGATGTAGGGTCCTAGAGAGAATTTTTTGCAAATGTTTGATGTGGATGCTAGAAAATTACAAATGATATACCATCCAAAAGCCAAAATTGTTTCATTTCATACATAATGGTCATTTTAGCAGCTCCTACAAAAATAATATATTATTTTAATACTTTTGCTCACTTTTATGAATATCACTTAAATTATCTCTTATTGAAAGGGTCTAATAACATAAATGTATTCAGGGGTGGGGGCCCATTAAAATATAAAAACTTACTAAGAATCATTTCTTGCATGCTGCATCAAAATATTAATTGGATTGGCTAAAAAAGTTACAACACTTTTTCCAAATAGCAACGTGGAAACCTTAAAATGCCAAATCACGTTTACATCTTCCTTTTTATAAAACAAAACAACCATTTCTCTTCATAGTAATATCAATATGGAATGTTATAGATATCAATTTTATAAGTTTAAGTCCTTCAACACATAAAAAAAAAAAAAAAAGTTTATTTATATTTTTATGGTTTATTTTTAATCAATGCAGGCTAATCTATGTTTCTTTTACATTATTGGCTTGGTGTCTATGTAAGTATAAACGCTAAATTATAAAATTAATGTAAATTTTTTAAAATCCAATAGAAAAAGAATGGTCTATATTCTGTAGAGAAAAACGTTGAATGCAAATTCTTTAAAATATTGCCGTTCACAGATAAAGTCTTTTTTTTTTTTTTTTTTTTGCTTTCATTTTAAATTTTCTGAGTTCACCCATATCTATAGTTTTAGGAGTCCATATGGATTCTGTTTAGTCGTTCAAAACCATAGAATTACGGTCATATGTAACGTGGTTTAATGTTAACAATTTAATTGTTTATTGCTATTGTGTTATCAAATAATTATTTATATCGTAAAAACAGTGCATAGCTTTTATAATATTGTTTACAACTTCATTTTATTCTTAAATGTTATTGAATCGCATAACCAAATTGAATAATAATTAAGTTTAATTGTTATTGTTGCCTTGACTGAAACAACTTTAAAAGCAATTTCAAACGATTCAATTTATGGTTTTAACAATAACCAAATTTAATCAATAATACCATTACACCAAGTATCAACACTATATTTAACACCGCAAAAAACACGTGAGGAGCACGTCTGATTATAAATGTGATAGTATATGATAGTTGCGTACATGGATAATGTATAAATCAGGCCGATAATTATTGCTCCTTGACAACTTTGAGTTCTTCCTTTTTTGTTTCGATGTCTTTGGATTCTTCTTCATTAACCTTAGTTGGAACAACTTTGGCCTCTTCCTCAAGTGTTTTTTCCTATAATTTAAATAATTCAAATAAATAGTTCTAACAATAAAAGATTAAAAGTTTCCTTGTATTATGTTGGATGAGTTTCACAATCATTTTAAAAGTGAATATATTTTTTATGAAATACAAATATGTCTATTTAAGCCAATGGGACATAAGCCCAAACTTTAGGCCTAATAAAATCCTTCAAATCCCAAAAATATGTAACATTTTTGAGAAAAGAGACTTGCATAACTTATTATAAAAGATATGGATATATTTCAACTAAATTTGAGATCTTTATTTTCAATTACGACAATATTTATTTTGGATACAAGATTCAATAGATGAATGCTAATAAACTATTACATAATAAGATATTAGAAAAATGAATAAATCATACCTCATTGAGCTTAGAGTCGGCAACCTTTTCACCATCCTTATTCTCCTCTTCATCCTTGTCTTTCTTTGTGTCTTTTGCATCAACACGTTCGTTGTCGGTAGCCTCCTTAGATGTAGTCTCCCCTTTAGTCACTGCCGCCTCCATGGTCTCCTCAGGAACAGCCACCTCAATGGTGGCATCCCCCTTAGGAACGGCCACCTCGATGGTTGTCTCCCCCTTGGGAGTCAATGGCACCTCGAGGGTGGTCTCGTCCTTAGGCAACACCACCACCTCAGAAGAGGTTGCTTCCTTAGAGGCCACCACCTGAGGGGTTGTCTCCTTCTTGGGAGACAACACTGGCTCAGGAGTGGTCTCTTCTTTAGGAGGCATTACCACCTCAGGATTTATATGTTCCTTACACGTCTCCATCTTAGGGGTGACATCTGGATTCAAATTTGTCTTCTCAGATGGAATCTCTTCTTTATGAGGTTTCGTCACCTCAGGGGTAGTTTCCTCCTTATGGAACTATGCCACTTTGGGGATGGTCTCCTCCTTGGCCTCTTGTGGGGCTGGGGCTGGGGCCCGACCCTTCTCCTTTTTCAAGGTCTTGGGAGCGCTATAACAACCGCCCATGTTTCTTCGTGGCTACTTAAAAGAATTTAAAGCAAATTAAGCGAAAAGTTATTGATTTCTTTCTATAAAATCAATTTTTTCACTCTTCCTATATAATTATATATAGGTGAGTGCTATGAACCAAAAGAACAAAGAAAATGGTGATGAAGAGTAGATGGCTTGATTGTATTTTGAAAATGAATGTCCAAATGGGGTTTTATAGTAGGTTTTTTCGTTGGTGGGAATATCTATGATACATAGAGATTTTAGGAAAATGGATGGTTTCTAAACACATCTATTGTCCTTTTGTTAATTGTCTTTTTTTCCTAAGCACTCGTATTACAGGCTGGGATGGTATATTTGTTATTCTTGTTTTTTTATTTTGAGTTGCTTATTTTTTATTTATTTAATTTGGGATATCACAGGCTATGATTTTATACATATATATACAGCCAATCATTACCATATATAGAGATGTGCTGACCATGAAGGCTCATACAATAATACTAAATAAAAACATTTCTTAATTAATATGAATTTTAAACCTTTTTTACAAATGTTATATTCAAATAATTTCTATAATTGTATGCAATAACAAATAAAAAAAATTCGTATATTTTTCAGAGAATGTAAAATATGTGCATGTTTTTAATATGAGGGAAAGTGAACAAAGACCAAATTTCCTTTAGAATATGCATATGAATAATCTCTATAAAGTTCACAAATATCTCACATTATGTTATGAGAGTTTTAATTCAAAAACTTAGGGTTAGAGTCTAAACAATCACACTTATAGATTGTTGTATATTTGATTTACATCTCACAAAATAAATATAAAACATGATAACTCGCAACATAAGAAGGTACCATCAATCAAACAACAAAGTACAACCGATTCATGCAATAACCAAACTTTAAGAAAAAAAAAACACAACAAAAGATACCTTAAACAAGCATATCCAAATACGAAAACCGAGTCAACTCAGTTCTCATCATCACCTACAACCATTCCCTTACGTTTCAATTCAAATGCCAAACGCGCATTCTCAAACTTCAACTTCTCATTTTCCAATCTCATCTTCTCCACTTTCATCTCTTCATTTTGATCCAAACACAACCACTCAACCCGATCTTTCTCAAGTTCCAACCTCTTCTCTTGTATCTCCAACTTCTTCTCTTCCAATCGGGCCCACCGGGCCTGCAAATCATCCCATTCATTACCCTCAAGGCCCAAAAAAACCAACCTCATAACCTCCCAATCATGAGGAATAAACATACGATTGTTATGATGAAGCGAACACATTTCCCGATAATAAAATTGATCCGATTCTAGAAGCTTCTGGGCCTCGTGTTTTAGGGTTTCGGGCATTTCAATTGAGTCCAAAAGAATCGGTTTTTCGAAAACTTCACAGCTTGTGGGCTTACCGAGTAACCCGATTAGTTGATTATACTTTTTGTTGATTTCAAGAAACGTGTCCTCACATTGCTGAGGTGTCACATTGTAACCCCTTTCGGACATCACCATTGAAATGACCTTCCATTTTGTTTCTTTTGACACGAGGGTTGATTTTTGGGTAGTTTTTTTGAAATCGGGTGAAGTTATTGAAGCTTCCATTATGTAAGAAATGGCGATGATCATAAGTTTTACCATTTCATCCGTCCATTTTAGGGTTGTGAAAGGTGGTTGAGAGGGGAGATTGTTCGCCAGAGGTTGGCCTTGAAGTGGCGGAGGTTGGCCTTGGAATGGTGGGGTTTGGCCCGTGTGTTGAGGGGGAGGTTGGTGGTAGAGGTATTGATATCGGGCTTGCATTGGGCTTTGAAATCCTGAGCTTCCCTTCATTTTTCACTTGCCTCAAAATGCAATAAATATTAAATTACCTTCACTTGATTATTAATTTGGCTCAGTTTTAAAAACCATTACCAGAAGTCTGAAACCCTTTCACTTTTCGGATTTGATTATTTTCATTAAAAAAAGCATAAACAGTGACACGGCTTATGGTTTTTATAATAGTTTCCAAAAGTTTTCATTTTTATAAGAATTAAATGCAAGAAACAGCAAGTTACTTTCATCGATGTGTTTATTATAACATCCTAGTTTTGTATTTTCCTATAAAAGCATTGCATTTGAAAAATCTATCCAATTATAGCAATGTTCACTGCCATAATTGAGTACTTTTTTCAAAGTATAATACCCTAATAAAAAAATCAAAAGTACAATGCTATAATTGGGTAGATTTTCAAAATACAATGTTCTTCATAAAATAAAATAAATTAAAAACATGAAACTACAATGGTGTAATAGAAAGAAATGAAAATAAGATGTCATAATACACAAATAAATAAAAGCACGATGTTATTTCTTGCAAATGAAGTGAAAACTTGTTGCAAGTTTTAAAATTTGCTCAAAAAAGAAACATTTCCATTTTCACAACATATTCCAAAACAGAAATATTGCATCTGCAACTTCCATGATATAAAATGCAGCACTCAACAATAATAATATATATATGCATTATGCATATGCTATAAAAATGAATAAAAATGCCATGAAGAACCAGAAAATTACCAAAAAACTGCGGACCACCATCTAGATTCTGAAACCAATTTGAAGCTTGATCTGCTTACTCCATAAGCTTCCCCAAATCAACAAGATCAATATATAGACAGATGATCTTGCCACATAAGCAATCTAATTCATCCATAAGTGTGCCAAGTGGAGGAATCTGAAGAAAATCGTACAAATGTAAAAATATTGGTCAAAATAAAGGTCAAACGATTGGCGTATTGATCACACCATATTCACGTTTTTATGGCTACTCGAATCTTGTAACTTTCCAAATGGTGTGAGTATTTTCTTGAAATAATGAAGATGATGTCAAGATTCCAAATTTTAAAGATTCTTATGGCCAACCACACACACATGGTAAGTGTGTGTTTAGTTACATGAGAATTTGTCTTAATGGGGGAGTAAAGGCCATTGTATTTTGATTTGACCAAGTCAAGATCAACCTTGGAGATATCGAATGTGGATAATATGGTAAAACTCTTGAATGCAAAATTAATGTAAAATGTTTCTTTTTTACTTAATGGACTTAATGAGGACATGACTTGATCTGGACAACTGTATATGGGTGTTTCTTTTTCACTTGATGCAGAAGGAAATGACTTAATAGAGAATGTCACGGAAATGAGGTTGTCCCCTATAAAGTTCGTATTTATTTATAAATTCCATTTTCTCAAATATTTTTTAATTAGAGAATACTAAGAAGCTTGTGAACCTTTTTGATATGATGACCACTTTGAAGTTAACTCATAACAATATGTGATTTTACATTAAGTTCTTAGTGGATGCTTCCTTCCATTGGAATCTGCTGCAATTTATATCAAGATAAAATCAGCACAGCAATTTGATTCATGCAAGTTAGACAGAAAACAATAGATTAATAATTAAAACAAGTGCACAATAGAAACATATAGGTATGGTTTAAAATGGACATGAAATTCTTTTAAATTTCACCATTAGAAAAGATTACATGCACTTGAAACTTAAAAGAGAGATATTTGTAACTGAAACAGGCTTACTGTATAGAGAACATTTAAAAATGAAATGGGAATTAAAAGCATCACTTTGGAAGATACAGTTGTTTGAGAATTAAAGAGTTATTTTTTTCGTTTGTACAGTTGCCAACAATATCAAATGCTAACTTCATTTCTCCAATAAATGGGAATTCAGAGATGGAGAATGCCTCCATATATGAAATGGACACAGTTGGAACTTAGCAATGACACATTCAAGCAATATCCAAATTCAACAATGTTGTTAGGAACTTTGTATGAGATTGATAATTCATATTCCATTAGACTAGAACAACGAAAGAAGTAAAGAGACTCACTCAATAGAACCATGAGCACTCTCCCAAAAGCCTAAGGTAAATGATCCACCAAGAGGTTTGAAAAAACGGTCTTTGATTGCTACTCTCATCAGTAGCCCATCCTTCATTCGATTAGGGAGTTTCATATGAGATTATGGTCGATCTGATAAATCCCTTATTAGAGCGTGTTTGGTTCATGGATTCCATCGAAATTAGAGAGAATTCCACGTTTGAGGAATTTCAACATTCATAGGGGTGGTGGAAGGAATTGAATTTGATTCTTCCTTGTTCCATTAAAGAGAGCACATTGTCCTTACAAACCCTAATATGTGATCAAACATATCCGACGCATAGAGGCCTCATCGTTTGCTCTATTATTGCATTGATGTTGTGTTGTATATCATCGTTCCTGGCTCTGCTGATCGCCTCATCTCCTTCGTTGAATCATGTATCATCTCTGTTATTCTTTGTCTCTCTCCTTTGATTCGTATAAGGTTGTAATCGGTGATTTGCTAGCTTGTTTTGGAGATACATTTCTGATTTGGAGCGATTTATGTTGGTACAAAAAAATATAATTGAACTTTATTTGTATATGTATCGCAAGTAAAGTATTATGTTGATTATATACATATTTTACAATTAATTTTTTTAATATATTGTTGATCCGCCAAAGTAGACAAAGAAAAAAAAACCAACTTGACTGCAATTGCACTCACATTTATTTATTTTTACGACTATTTCATGATATTTTATATTTTAGTATTTTGGTTAAAGCTTAACACTTCTGCTACATTGTTTTCTCTTATTTTCACTTAGTTTTGGTGAATTAACAAAAGAATTGTCGGGTTATATTATTAGTTTTTAATTGAGTAAAAAGAAAATCTTATGACGTTATAGTTAATCAAAAGTATGTTTATATGAAAACATAATATAGTTATTTATACACAATAATTGATTATTGGTAAATAATACTTTTTTTATACACAATAATTTATCTTTTATATGATTATACAATACAACATTTTAAAACATAAATGATTATGTATGATACAAATATATAACTGTAAATATACATATTTATACTCTAGAGAAGTATAAATATGTATTTATATTTCATATATTTACCTAAAAATTTAGGAATGGAAATTTTATCTCTCTCTCTCTCTCTCTCTCTCTCTCTCTTTTAGGTGTGATTCATTAGATGCATCATACTTTTGACACTTGCTTTCTAAAGACACAAAGGAAATGATCAAAATTTTATTTGCTATAATAAATCTAAAGGTATGTAAACCTTAATTCATGAATTTCGAGTTTCAA